ATAAAGTTTGAAATAAATTTAAAATTCTATGGAATTTGAATAAATTCCATTAAATCTGAAATAAATTACAGATTCCATGAGATTTGAATAAATCTCAGATTTTATGGGATTTGTTGTTAGTATGATTTTATTTTTTTTTTCCACATATATATATTATCTATCATAACCAGAAAATAAAAGAAATAATTTTTTTCTACTTTTCTTTTTCTATCAATTTTTTCATGGTATCAGAGGTGTAGGGCTTGATTATAAATTACGAAACATCCATGGTTGGCTCTGGAACATCACCTCCAGAAGAGACAAGTGGTAATATTTCGACAGGAATTGGTTCTTAGTCACCGTCGGTTATCTTCTCTACACCTTCAGTTGTCTCCCTCATCGAAATTCTTTTCAGATTATCATTCACAAATTGAATGGAAAGAACCATCTTGAGTGGTCCCAATCGTTGTGGCTGGCGATTGACAGAAAAAGAAAATTAGGATATTTAAATGGTGAGGTCGCCAAACTTGATTCAAGTGATCCCAAGTACCGACAATGACACTCCGAAAATTCAATGGTGACTGCATTGTTAATCAATTTCATGGAACTAGGGATCAGAAAGCTTTTTATGTTTCTTCCAACAACCGAAGAGGTGTGGGATGTAATTCGCGAGACTTATTCGGATCTAGATAATCATTTCCAACTTAATGAGTTGAATACTCGAATGTGGAAAATGCAACAGGTGATCGTGAGGTGACGACCTATTATAATGATATGATGACAATATGACAAAAATTGAATATGTTTGAAGATGAATCTTAGAAAAACCCCAATGATGGTGCTCGATATAGGAAGAAAATTGAAAGAAGCTGTGTATTTGTTTTTCTGACTGGCTTAAATAAAGAATTAGATGAGGTTAGAGGTCGCATACTTGGAAGAAGACCTTTGTCAACAATGAGGGAAGTGTTTGCAGAGGTACAACGGGAGGAAGCCCGGAGAAAGGTGATCCTGAAAAGCAGTGATGAGTGTAGAAAAATTCGTGAAAGATCAAGATTTGTAGCTCGTGGTACAAATTCAGATGTTGAAAGGTGTGGGGGAGAACAACGACCATGGTGTGACCATTGCAAGAAACCTTGGCATACTTGAGAAACTTGCTGGAAATTGCATGAAAAACCAGTAAATTTAAAAAAAAAAAATCAGCCAGCAACACCAAGTTAGAGGAAGACAGTCGTGTTCTCCAAGCTGACAGCTCTTATTTGGAGCAAAAAGCTTGTAAAAAATCATTATCTTTCACAAAGGAACATATAGAACATCTTTACAAAATGTTCCAATCTCATTCTAGTCATTCTTGTTCTTTAGTACAATCAGGTGGTCCTTTTTTTGTAACATTTATTTGTTCAAATTTTAACAACTATTGGATATTGAATTCGGGAGTCACCGACCACATGACAGGTTCTTCACATTTTTTCTCTTCATATTCACCATGTGCAGGGAACCAAAAGGTAAAAATTGCAGATAGTTCCTTTGCCTTAGTTGTTGAAAAATGGATAGTGTCTATCACTTCACTAATTTTAAAAACTGTTCTTTATATTCCAAAATTATCATATAACTTGCTGTCAATTAATAAATTAACCCTGATCATAATTTTCAAATTAATTTTTGGTCTTCTCATTGTGAATTTCAGGATTTAACTTCGGGAAGAATGATTGGGGGTCTTAGATAGGATGGTAGTCTCTATGTTCTCAACAGCAGATCATTTTTTGAAAGATAAGATGATGAAGCATGTTTCAACTCTATCTCTATGTCTAGTGACAATAAGATTATGTTATGACATTATAGGTTAGAACATCCAAATTTTTAATATTTAAAACATTTGTTACCAAAGTTGTTCATGAATAAAAATATTTTTGATTTTCAATGTGAATTGTGTAAATTAACAAAACATCATCGTACTGTTTTTCAGGTACAACCATATAAAAACTCTACACCTTTCACAATAATTCATAGTGATGTTTAGGATCCTTCTACAACAGTAACTTCTAGTGGATAATGCTGGTTTGTCACATTTATTGATGATCAAACTAGGATTACTTAGGTATTTTTGTTAAAAGAAAAATTTGATGTTGGAGAAGTGTTCAAAATATTTTATAATATGGTTCAAACGCAATTTCAAACTCAGATTAAAATTTTTGAGAAGCGATAATGGAAAATAGTTCTTTAACACTATGTTGGAAATTTTTTTTTTTGAAAAAAGAGTGATCAAAGTTCCTGCAGCAATACACCCTAACAAATGGGGTGGCTGAACGGAAAAATAGGACTCTCCTTAAAGTAGCAAGAGTTATAAGTTTTCAAATCAAGGTACCAAAATTTTTATGGGGTGAGGCTGTTTCAACAGCCACATATTTAAGCAATAGGGTACCTACAAAAACTTTGGATTTTCAAACTCCACTTCAGGTTTTCTCATAAGGTTGCAATTAGATGTTCTCTTAAAAATCTTTGGTTTTTTATTCATAATCATGATCCAAAACTGTCCAAACTAGATTCAAAGGCACGCAAATGTATTTTTGTAGGCTATCCTACAAATAAAAAACGATACAAATATTTTGATTCCATTTTGAATTTTTTTTTGTGTCAATGGATGTTGCTTTTTTTGAGAGACAATCTTATTATAACCATCCTCATCTTCAGGGGGAGAACTTTAGTGAAGATAATGTTTTTAGAAAGGAGGATGTGTTTTTAAAGGATTCAATATCTGATTTTGTATATGAAATCGAACTGTATGAACAAAGTTCTAATGTACATGAACACAACTCTGATGGAAATAGTAAACAATGAAATTTTAAACGAAATGATGTGGAGATAAATGAGTTAAATAGTAAAATTATAAAGTCCAATAATAATCAAGAGACACTGCCATCTCAAAATCAGAATTCTGAAACAGTAGAGATAGATGCGAAAAAGTTTAAAGATCTTGTCTACTCAAAGGAACATTAAGCCAAGAGGAAAAGAGGCACCATTTTTCAACATTGTCAATCTTTTAACTTAGGGTCAGATCATGAAATTCATGATAACTCAGTTATCCCTCATAGCAAATTTTTCAAGTAATTCAGAATCCTATTCTCCTAGTCAACTTGATCTCCCTATTGCTTTTAGGAAAGGTAATAGGACTTGTACAAAGTATCCTTTATCAAACTTATATCCTATAAAAATGTTTCTCCTTCCTATTTTGGCTTTATCTAACAAATGTCCAATGTAGTCATTCCTAACAATGTCCAGGATGCTTTACATGTTCTTGAATGGAGGGTAGCAATACTTGAGGAGATGAAAGCTCTTGAGAAGAATGCTACTTGGAACAAGGTAGATCTCCCAAAGGAGAAGAAAGTTGTTAGCTGTAAGTGGGCATTCACAGTTAAGTACAACTCGGATAGATCTTTAGAGAGGTATAAAGCTCGTCTCATGGCAAAAGGTTTTGCTCAAATATTTGGAGTAGACTACTCAAAGACATTCTCTCCGGTGGCAAAGTTAAAACACAATGAGAGTACTTTTATCTGTGGCTGCAAACTTTGATTGGCCTCTGAGTCAATTTGATGTAAAAAAATGCAATCCTAAATGGAGACTTGGAAGAGGAAGTTTACATTGAACATCCACTTGGGTTCATAGAAAACTTTGGAACCAAGGTATGTAAACTAAAGAAGGTTCTTTATGGCCCCAAACAATCACCTAGAGCTTGGTTTGAGAGGTTCACAAGGTTTGTTAAAGGTTAAAGTTACACACAAGGACAATCTGATCACACTCTCTTCACACGAAAATCCATAGAAAGCAAAGTTGTTATCTTAATAGTCTATGTGGATGATATAATTTTAATTGGGGATGACTTGGATGAGATTATGAGACTTAAAAGAAACTTAGCCAAAGAATTTGAAATTAAAGATTTGGGTCAGCTTAGATATTTTCTTGGAATGGAGGTAGCTCGATCAAAGAGAGGAATGATGGTGTCACAACAAAAATATATTCTGGACCTTCTAAATGAGACTGGAATGAGTGAGTGCAAACCGGCACAAACACCATTAGAAGCGAGTAACAAGTTCGGGGATATTAAAGAAGGAGTTCTTGTGGATAAAGAGAGGTTCCAAAGGCTGGTTGGAAAATTAATTTACTTATCTCATACTCGCCCTGATATTGCTTTTGCTGTGAGTGTGGTGAGTCAGTTTATGTCTTCTCTTTGTGAAGAACATTTAGAAGCAGTGTATTATATTTTAAGGTATTTGAAAGGTGTACCTGGAAAGGGACTTTTCTTTAAGAAAAATGAAAAAAGAGATTGAAGTATATACAGATGCTGAGTAGGTTGACTCGAGTGTTGATAGAAGGTCAACTTCAGGATATTGTACTTTTGTATGGGGTAATTTGGTTACTTGAAAGAGTAAAAAATAGAATGTTATTGTAAGGAGTAGCGCTGAGGTAGAGTTCAGATCAATGGCTCAAGGTATATGTGTAGTCTTGTGGCTGAAATGGGTTCTAGAAGAAATTGAAAAACCTACAAGTTTGCCTATGAAATTGTTTTGTGACAATAAGGCAATGATCAATATTGCATATAATCCAGTCATACATGATCGACTAAGCATGTTGAAGTAGATAAACACTGTATAAAGGAAAAACTTGAAGAGTGGATAATATGTACTCCTTTTGTGCCTACTACACAGCAGATTACAGACATATTAATCAAGGGGCTCTTGAGTAAACCATTTGAAGATCAAGTGAGCAAGTTGGGCATGATAGACATCTTTGCACAAACTTGAGGGAGAGTGTTGGTAGAGATAACTTTGGAAAGTTAGGATTTATTTTCAAGATATGAAAGTTTGAAATAAATCCCAAACTTTATGAAATTTGAATAAATCTCATAAAGTTTGTATTATGTTTCCTGATTAAGGATTGAGTCACTGGACGGTTAACAACAAAGTCGTTTTCTAATAAAGGGTTAACACTCTTGTTCTTATTGGGAGAGCGACCTATTTTATGAAAATAAATTATAGCTTATTAAAGAGAGCTGCTATCTTGGATCTCGTTAAAAAGAGCTCCAATATTGTAATTTAAAATAATATTCTGACTTCTCTTTATTAATATCAAGTATATTCCTTCATATAGAGGTTACAATTTTTATTTAGAAATATTAATCTAATTTGGAATTTAAATCTAATTAGGAATAATTTATTAAAATATTAGAAATTCTACACTATTTAGAAATCAAGTACTAATGAAAAATATATATATTATTTAGGAATCTAATATTAATTAAGATTCTAACTATTTAGGAATCTAGTATTAATTAGGATTTCAACTATTTAGAAATCTAATACTAATTAGAATTCTATATTTAAGTGAATGTCAATTTTTTATTCTTGCTGTGTCTTTTATATTTGCATTCATAACATTACTCCCCCCTAGTCTTCAAGCTTGAATTGTGGATATAGCTGTCTTGTTGGTTTTTTCTTATTGCTCAGGATTAATGTCGCGTTCAATATCGAGCCAAAATAGTTGTTTACATTGGTGACTAGATTGCGTCGTGAAGTTGTTGCCTTATGGTGGTTTCTGAACTAAATTGTTAGGTTTGCTAATGGATTGAAAATGATTATTCTAATTGTATTCGTGCATATCCTACAACTGTTGTTTCCTCTCAAAAGCTCTGGCCATACTCATTGTGTGCATAAGAGTGGTGGGTAATTGCATCTCAACTTCCAACCTATTTGAATCTAATAGACCTGCAGTAAACATGTCAACTTGTTGGTCTTGCCGTACTTTATGAACACGGGCCAAGAGTCTCTGAAACTGTTGTATATAGTCCTCCACTGTGTCTATTTGTTTTAGGTTGATTAGCTCTCCTAATGAATTGTTCCACAAGGGTGGACCAAACCGCAATGTGCAGAGTTCAATAAACTGGCCTCATAATATCCCTGTCTCCTCATGTTGTAGTTTGTAGTACCAAAGGTGAGCATTTCCTAACAAGTGGAAGACTGCCTATCCAATTTTGTCGTTGTTAGCCATTCTTTGATTAATAAAAAATTATTTGCAATGATGGAGCCAAGCCAACGGGTTGTTCGATCCATCGTAGGTGGAAAAATCAAGTTTTGTATAACGAGGAATCCATCCATTGTTATGGGAACTGATACTGGATTCTCTGCTCCCTGGTTTAGTGTGTCGCATTTCCCCTCTCTGATTATGATTTGAATCACCGTTATTAGTTTCTACGTTATCAATTCCCTGTTTTTCTTGGACTTGGGCAGTTCGGCTGGGAAGAAGTTCTAATTGCTGCGTGATTTGGCGCACTCTCTTTTGTTGCAGTTTTAGAAGCCGTCTTATGAGATTCTAGATTCTGCAACTCTTCGCATAAACTTTTGTCGCCCATGGTGTTTTGCTCTGATACCAAATTGTTATATTCCTTGATTAAGGATCGAGTCACCGGGCGATTAACAACAAAGCCATCTTCTAATAAAGGGTTAACACCCTTGTTCTTATTGCGAGAGTGACCTATTTTGTGAAAATAAATTACAGCTCATCAAAGGGAGCTGCTACCTTGGATCTCGTTGAAGAGAGCTACAATTTTGTAGTTTAAAATAAAATTATGACTTGTATTTTATTAATATCAAGCATACCCGTTTTATATAAATGTTACAATTCTTGTAATAATATGACTTGTCTTTATTAATATTAAGTATACCCGTTTATATAGATGTTACAATTCTTACAATATTATGACTTGTCTTTATTAATATCAAGTATACCCGTTTATATAGATGTTAC